TGAGGTACACGTCTCAGGTGGAGAATTTGTCACTTTTGCAGTCGATGCTCTGTACATCTATTCATAAACAGGTGCTATGTATTAAGAAGTCTGTCTTTTTTTAGCCTTTATCCTCTCTTTTTTAAAATGTTTTTGTGATCTTTTATATTATTCTGTTTTGTTCCATGCAAAAAACAATTATTTCATACCAGTGTTAAGAATTGGTCATCAGGTTTGTGTGTTCTGTGCACATGCCAGTATTCCACAAATACAAAGAGCTGTGAAGGAAGGTGTGACTTTTTTTTTTCTTTGTTTGTTTGTGTTACATTTTATTGCCAGCATAACTTAATTTAATTTTTAATGGTTGTATTCAAAAAGTCCCCTCCTATATGTACTGTAATTGTATCACAAAGCCTTTTTATGTATTAAAATCTTTGTTTATACACGGGAAAAATATTACTTTATTCCATTTCTTAAGTTTAGTTTCTAACCCATTCAGCTCTGTACAAATAAAAATTACATTTAAAAAACAATTTAGCAAAACCAAAAGATTAAAACTAGTAAATAAAAGTGGAAAATACAGAATCATAGAAGACCTGAAGACCTTTGAAAAATTTAGAGATTATTATTATCAGACCGTAGATTAACAAACTTCATCAGAGACTGGAATACTTAGCTAATGTTGTAGCTGTGAATAATTAGCTGATTCCAATCCAAGCTGTGACTCATAACCCATTTGACAACTAGAAAACTTTTGAATAAATTTTGAAGGGTGTTGGTGCAACCACTAGCTGAAATTCCAAAATACATGAACTTTCTCCTATGAAGCAAAGCAATCATTTTAGAATATATTAGTAATAATCCAAGCTAAAAACACCTTTGTTTTGATGTTTAAGAAGTGTAAAGAGAACCATAATACAAAGATACGTTAAAGCTGCTGTTAATGGATCATTATAGTCAGCATGGTAACCACAAACCTGTTTATTACTATTTGAATTTAGTACTGAAAGTAGAAATAAACCTCCAACAAACAAAATAGAGGCACAAGCCTCTTTTTGTTGCACATCAATTTTCATGTGCCTACAGTTTTTTTTATGCCAGAAAGAAAAGAGTCCTATGGCATAAGAGACACATGGCTAGAGGAAAAAAATAAATCAATGTTTATGTTTAAACACAGAAATTGAAACCTCTTGAGATAGATAGATAGAATAGATGGATAGATAGATGGATAGATAGATAGATAGATAGATAGATAGATAGATAGATAGATAGATAGATAGATAGATAGATAGATAGATAGATAGATAGATAGATAGAT